TTGATAATCTGCATGCTGCAGAATTGTCATGCAGAAATGTTTCTTATTTCCCAGTGGCAGATTACTCCAATTTTAAATCTCATCCAACAATTATTTTTCTAAAATATACTGTGGTATATTTCCTACTAACTTAAAAATAAATGAAGTATTTTGTGAAGTGGTAGGCATGTTTTTTCCATCTACTTACTGATGTGGTGAGTTTACAATGTGCCTTTCAGTCAATACTGCAAATTAACATTTTTTTCTGTGTGCGAGTGGATGGGGTGGGGAGGAAAAATTGTAGGGGAAGGTTCTGGAATATTTATTGGTGCAAGCAGTCAATGTATTTCAAAGGAAGCACATAGTCTAACAGACTGCATATACTTAATTACGGAAGTGAAGGCAAACTTAAGCGGATCTTGTTAACATCCTAGGAAACTGCTGTCTGGTTTCTAAACTTCCTTGGTTTTGGAATAGTTGTTGTATGCTTTGGCACTTCAATTCCATACGGAGACTTAAAGAGGAGGTTGGCATATAAAACCTCATTTTGATCTGAATTCAAATAGTCTCACAGCAGATGACATGATGTGGGATTTTAGTGATAGACGATCAGTATATTTAATGCTGTTGATTATCATGCACTGATGACTAGGATGAATTCCATGTTAGATGGCCCTTTCTCTTGGCATTTGAGATCCATTCTTAACAAAGGATGTTTCCAAAGATAGCGATGAGCAACTATACAGCTCTTTTTGCAGTGTTTCACAGTCTTTTTTAAAATTGCTGCTGTTTAGTGGTTATGTTAGTCAGTCCATATGCTAGGGGGATTGTGGGGTCATGAACCGAGATTACATCTGTATACAGCAGCGATTCTCAACTGGGGTTTTGTGAAGAGCCTTTGAAGCGTACTGCAGGGAACAAGAAAGTAAGCACTTGCTTGTCTGTGCCTGGCTTCTCTTCCTCCCACCACTCATTGTCTGGCCCCTGTGGGAGGAGGTGAGCACACGCTCATGGGCAACTGGTACCATATGAGTTAGTGACCAGTCAATGACGGGGGGGGGGGTCCCCCATGGCCAATCTCACCAGCCGGGGGCAGGTCACCCCGCTGCTGATTGCACTCACCTGAAACTGACTGCAGAGCTCCTGGAAGTCGCTGCAGCCACTTCATCCACCACTTCATTCCAACTTGCGGGGGGGGGCACCAGTGCTCCCACCTGCCCCCACCACCCATGGCCTAAGCGGGGAGTGCGGCCTGACAGGGGGTGTACCAGTGCTCTCAGGGGGTACACTTGCACCCCCGTGCACTGTCTACACGTCACCACTGCACATGCTTGTCCTTGTCTGGCCACTCCCAGTCCTTGTGCAAGGATCTAAGCACTGTAATAAGCAAGTTTTTTCAAATGGGGTGCAGCTCAATTCACCAATGAAATGAAAGAGTGCCTAGGGCCTAAAATTGTTGAGACCCACTTGTCTACAGAGTTATACTCACCATAGTACTCCCTTTATTGATGATAGTTTTTCATAGATTTCATAGACATTAGGGCTGGAAGGGACCTCGGAAGATCATCAAGTCCAGCCTCCCACCCAGAGGGCAGGAAGTCAGCTGGGGTCATAGGATAAGCAAGATGAGCATCCAATTTGGTCTTGAAGGTGTTCAATGTAGGTGCTTGAACCACCCCTGATGGCAGGCTGTTCCAGACCTTGGGGGGCTCGGACAGTAAAGAAATTCTTCCTTATGTCCAGCCTGAAATGGTCTCGCAGTAGTTTATGACCGTTCAACCTTGTCATCCCTTAGTTCAATGGATAAATGAGAAGTAGTTACCCGTGTTAGTCTGAAGTCAGGCAGAAGGTAGGAAATCCAGCATGTTGGAGCAGACTCGATCAATCAAGTCTGCTGGAGCATGGGAATTGACATGCTCTGGCAGCCTTCCATGTCATGTCTGGCAATGTGTAGGGGGTGTACACGGGTGCACATGCACCCCCTGAGCTTGATGGTGCACCCCTGCAAAAAACACCGCTGACACCTGTGGCCAGTCGCCGTTTGCCCTCACCCCCTTCACGAGTGACACCACCAACAGCGTCTGTGAGCAGTCCCTGATTACTGCTGGCCACTGTCCCCCCTGACACCACGGTGGCCATCTGTGGGAGCTCCCCGCTCACTGTTGCCATGCCCCTACCGCTGACACCACCACTGCCACCTGCGGGCAGTCACTGTGCCTCCCCAGCCTGTGGCGGAAAATGGCATTCATGTGTGTATCAGTGTTGCCGTGTGTCTCTGTACTGAAAAAATGGCAGTGGTGCACTTTGAAATAGAACACGCTTGATGAGCTTTCGTTCAGAGTGCTCTGCCGCCATTTTTTTCAGTGTCGGGACACAGTGATGCTGATACATGTGACACGCAGGTGCTTATAATTATTGCTGCTCACTAATTAAAGCACCTGGTGCCGTGTCCCACAACACATGTAAAAATACCCTTAGAAACTAAATGGTTCAGAGGGGCATAAGCTTTTATAGGCGGTAGCCTGCTTCATCAGATGCTACTTTACAGCAAGCTGTTTCAAAGCATCTGATGAAGTAGGCTGTCACCTAAGAAAGCTTATGCCTCTCTGAACCAGTTACCTTTCTAAAGTGCTACCTTGTCCTGCCTTCTGCCTAATTAGATCAATTTTGTCTTTGACCATTGTATCCTTGCCTCTCTTTTTCATCAGCTTTTCCTGTTTATTTCTTTGTCTGTCTACTTTAAGTTAATTAGTACAGTTGCATCTTCAGAGCAAACAAAATTACATGCTGTCACTGCTGTTGAAATATGAATTACTTTATGGCTACTGAAAAAGGTTCAAGCAAAACAGCAGGTAGACCACACAGGCAGCATTTGTCTGTACTAGAGCAGTGGTTCCCAGCCTTTTTAGACTGTGGACCTTAAGTGACCGTGGACTGGCAAACTCCAGTGTGGAAGTGACCGGTTACTTCTGGACTTCTGGTCTGGCAGCCATCTCTCCTGCAAACCAGCAGCCAGCCCTTTGCGACCTGGTACTGAGCTGTGGCCTGGGGGTTGGGAACCTATGTGCTAGAGCATGAGAATCTTTACTGGATACCTACTGGAAAGAAGACTCTGCTTACTAGCCATGGCTGCTGGGAACACAGGGTGCTTATACACGTGGTCCAGCGTGGGGGGATAGGTGTTTTAATTAACTCAGCTCTTGGGAGCTGCTCTAATTAAAATGCTGCGGTGTCTCATGTTTCAAAATGGCAGCAGGGGTGCTTTAACTAAAGCTTGTTGAATGAGCTTTAGTTAAAGTGCCCCCACCTCCATTTTTGAAATGTAGGGATGCTAAATACATGAGAAGTTGTAGCATGCTGGAGTGTTCTAATTTGAATGCTCGATTGAGTCTGCTAGAGCATTCTAATCTGAATGCATAGGAGCACGTGTATAGGCACCCACAGAGGCTATCTGAAGTCTTCCAAGGGTTTAATTTAACTTCATTTTCCATGTCTCTCTGCTGGCTGGTAGGTTAGTGATCAACTCATTGTTGCTATTCCTTGTAGTAGTTGTCTTCTTAATGACTCTCTTTATGCATGTCTCTAGCTTGTAAGCATTTTGGCATGCCCAAGGATCCAAGACAAGAAATATCCAAAATATTAGACTTTTTATTTTTTACAATATAAAGTCAATCTTGTGTTTTTTCAGGCCTCAACTTTAAATTCTTGGGGGCTGTAAATATTCAATGTGAAGTTTTACCAATTTTTCTTTTTATCCTCTCTGGAGGAAAAAAGAGTTCTTTTTTTTTAAGTGCCCCTCTGAGCCAAAGATTTCTTGCATCTTGAGAGAGTAAAGATGAAGTTACACATTACACTTTGACCATATTAAGGGCACTTAAAACATGAGCATCCACATGTCAAAGTTCGGTAACTCATGCAAAGTGCCCACTGAGTGTCTCAGCTATGCTACTTCAGGTGAGGGTTAACTGGGGCTCATGCTATCTAGCTCATGTGAGTGTAACTTCAGTCTGCTTCACAGAGATGAAACAAGCAATTTGCAGTCCTCCAGCATTCCACAATGCATCACTTCCAACCTCCACCTCCCCCCCCCACCAATTCTGAGCAGAGATAGAACTTAGGTGTTCCAGCCCCTAGCTACACCACCAGTTATCAGCCCTCCCATGGCAGGTCAGAGCTGTAAGGGCAAGAAATGATATTAATTCTTACTGTGCAGCAGCTGATAGTATATTCTAACTTTAACATCAGCTAAAATCCTACAAAATGATTATGGTCTAAGTGTAATATGTAACTTCACTCTAATAAGGAAGTAGTTCTGTTGCTTAACTCCTTCCCTGCCTTCATTTTGGCAAAGTCCTTTACCTATGTGAATTACAAAGGTGCCTGCTTCTGCAGCTGTTTGTAGCTTCACAAAGCAACAGCAAGAATGAGCCTGACATGATTCTGATAGGTTTCAGTATGGTCCACAGGGTTTTGAATGCCAGGTTTAAGAGTCTTGTTATTTTATGTTTGCTGCTTAGGAAAATAGTGAGCTAAGGTAAAGACAGTAGCCTGAGGTTGGTTCATCTTTGCAAGGTTGCCTGCACCACTGTAAGGTTACATTTTTAACATGAAAATTTAAATTCAGTAGAAATGAATGGTTTAGCGTGGTTTGCCAAGGGGAAAAAAAGGCTTCTCACTTACCAATGGAAAATCAGAGAATCTTTAAGCCCTGACTTATTTTATAACTTAGTTATATAACAGAATGCTTTAGAGTAGGTTGAAAACAAGTATCACAGAGAAAATGTAGTCTATTTTTTAATTTGTGGAACTTATTTGCTCATTGCTATATAGAAGGCATGCATGTTTGCACAGTGTGATGCTATACTATGCTGTGAGGTTCTGCACCTTGCCGTGATTCTGAACAAGGCGAAGTTCTTTCACCTTGTTGCATGAGCACTGCTGGTCTTAGAACTGAAGATAGCAAAATGATACTCCCATTGACTACTTATCTAACATCTTTTTTGTTTACCTTTTCCTGACAGTAGAAGAAAATGAAACAGAGGACCAGCAGAGAGGTGTGGGACAGACAGCTGCTCAGACTGGTAATGCTGAATTCTTAGTGCTTGCTTACTCTCTTTCAACATGATGAGATTTATTTTTTCATCCCATGCTCTTATTCTATTGGATATCAACTTACAATACAATTATGAGCTCAGAAAATAAATACATGTCACTTTTCAGTTCCATATAACCATTTGTAGTGTATCCTCCTGAAAGGGAAATCTTTGCTTTTTTGAAGTCCAGCATGAGTTTTTTTTACCAAAAAAACTTTCCTTCACATTCATTCACCCTACTTCTTGCACACTCCCTGCCTAGGGACAGAAATTACACATAAACTGGTATAAGTGATCAGAAATTGGTTCAAATCTATAACACAGCCTAATTTCAGTGCACATAAACCTCTTTCAAAGTGGCTGAAACTGGTTTAAGATAAACCTGGATGGATGTAGTATCAAACTTAACTGATAAAGGTTAAATTGGTTTATTGAACTTTTGTCCCAGATCCCCTCCAGATTCACATTAACTCACAGCCCCTCAGCATTCCAGGGTGTTTTGCACCTCTCCTGCAATCTCCCTTGCCCCCCCCCACCCATCCCCCCAGTAGGTTGGGCAGGCTAGCCTTGGCCCAAATTGTTTGCTCCAGCAGGGTAGGGAGATGTGCTCTAGAGCCCTCTGGCTTCTGGCCTGGGCCACCTCAGGCATGTGGCTGCATTTCCAGAATTGAAGTGAATGCCTGTTCATTTGCCTATGGGTTCAATCTATGCAGCTTAGACTAACCTGCAAAGATTGAACCAATTCAGCCTCAGGCTTTCTGACTGTCTGTACATACCCCGCCCTCTCCTCCAAAACTAGCCCCAACCCTCAACAGTTTCTCATTATCTTCATATATACTCTAATTGAGTTATTTTTATATACAGACAGCATGTGAGGAGTAGTTGCTTCTATAAATGATTTTATAATTTGTTAATAGACACTAGGGCTGTGTGAAGCTTCGGTCACTGATTCAATTCAGAGATTTGGCCTGATTTGGTGGCTGAACCTCTAAATTCGAATTGAATCAGGAGACCCATTAATCTTTCCGAATTGATTCAGAGAGATTCGATGATTCAGCCATAGACGCAGCTTTATATGTTTTTTCTACATACCTCAAGGTACCAGGTGGAGCTCATGAACACTGAGATGGTGGAACAGATGGAGCATCCCATGGGAGCACAGGGGGGTGGGCCCTGCGCGCTTAGTGGCAGACCTGGAAGTGGACTGAAAGTACTTCTGCAGTCCAGAAGTACTTCCGGTCCACTTCTGGATCCACCACTGAGCACACAGGTGACCCCCTCGCGCTCCAGTGGGACACTCCATCCACCCCAGCATCACAGCATTCACAAGCCATGCGCGGTACCTTGAGGTATGAAGAAAAAACATATAAAGCTGTGTCTATGGCCAAATCACTGATTCTCTGAATCAGAATCAAATCTTCAGATTCAGATTTGGCCAAATCGAGTTGGGACAGTACTCTGAATCAGCAAATTGAATCACTGTTCCCCAATTTGGCCTGGAATAGACTCTCTCCAGAGGTGGTGCAAGCTCCTACTCTGGATTCCTTTAAGAAGTGTTTGGATGCTTATCTTGCTGGTATCCTTTGACCCTAGCTGATTTCCTGCCCTTGGGGCAGTGGGCTGGACTCAATGATCTCCCAAGGTCCCTTCCAGCCATAACGTCTATGAAATCTATGAATTGGGCTGAATCCAAATACCAATCGAATACTGCCCATTTTGCACACCCTTAATAGACACTGACCCTTGCAGTTAAGTCAAGACCAGTTCTGTAGATAAAGTCTGTGTTAGAATCTGTGTGGAATTTATAATGAATAAAGACATAAAGCAGTGCCAGTCTGTTAATACTATATTATGTGTTGTTTGAAACAGTGAGGCTTTTTTGTTTCCCTCAATCTTAATATGATTCAAGACATTCAGGAAATGATTAATTTTTGTTGTTGGTATTGATCCTACAAACTCTTATGTAAAGTAATTGTACTAATGTTACTGAGGTTACTTCAGTGAATGAAAGCTGTTTCTAGCCCTGAAAGACTTTTAAGGGTCCTAGAATCATATTAGAAAATGTGCATGTGTACATAATGTCTAATTATTTATATATAAAATGGTTTGAGTTATTATTTTATAAATAATATAAATATACTTATTTTTGGTTACCCTTTGTATTCCATCTATCTTTAGGGTTTGTATTCTCTGGGCTTTATAATATTTGTTACATTTTTTTCCAGCAGGCTTTGTTGGCAATGATGATTAAATACTTTATGTAAAGAAGACAAAAAAGAAAGGAGGGGAGAGAGACAGTGTTCTCTGTAGCTTTCCTGGAAAGCTTTTTTCATATTCACCAGAAAGTTTTTATGACCTAGATCAATTAATTTTAAATTTGAAAATTAATACATGCAATAAACATTTTAATTAGAAAAACAGCTGACTATAAAACTGGAGAATAACATGTCAAGAAATAGTTGTTTTCTACTTGTTTTTGTTAACTCCTGAGTCAATGAGTAGTCTTGTTAGTGCAGTAATTTTCACATCACTGTTGTATCTTGTATTCTGCTATACAAGATAAGACCTTTTACTTGCCTTTAGCAAGAGCTTAATGCTAAAAAATTTAAAAAGGACTTCAGACAATTTCATTCAAGCAGTACAGAAGGCCCATACTGTATACATACTGCCAGAAGTTTTTATAGTAATACTTTGTATCTAAGCTCTGGCTCTAACCATTAAATGTGCTTTTTATAGAGTACCAAGTTATAAATGTAGTGCAGCTACGGCATATTAATCTTACTGCAGAGATTTAATGAGCCAGTTGTTTTGCGATGGACACTATTGGGAGCAGAGAGCGACAGAGTTTTACTTTACCACTGAGCTGCAGAAATATTCCTTGCCTGGTAATAATTATAACCACATGATCTTAGTTTTCCTTTCTTTTGCCAGCACTTTTTCCATGCAGAAGTGGCTTGGAAGGCGGTCCATTGCAAGGCAGTGAAATGGATTGGAAACTAAGCTGTTTTCTTGGTAGTTTGACATTTTAGCTGTGATCAGCTATGGATCCTTGTTGCGTAGACAGAAATATGTAAGATGAGTTTCAAGAATACAGATAGTCTTTGCCAGTCCGCTGAGATGGCTTTTAGATATTCATTACTTTTACTTGACTTTTATATGGGTTATAAAAAGTAAATGTGGTGAAACCTCATTTTTACATGGACAGAATAGAATTTCTGCTGGTTGGCCTTAAACCGATCCCATACTTGAAATTAATTGAAGTCCATGGCTTTATTGCTTCCAACACTTTTAAGCCAATGCAGTTTTTCATTTTCCCCAAAGTTGCAGTTTTATTAGACCAAGTTACAGCAATAACATCCCTTATGTGGAGGAGGAAGAGGAGAAGGAGAGAATCACCAGTCAGAGAACATAGTAATGAGAAAATCATACTTCTTTTCATTTCCATTTATAAATAATGTTAACATAATCAGTAACAGAAGACAATGATTCATTTTTATTATGCTAATAAGCTGAATTTATTTCTTGTCCAAAACTGAACCTTCTTTATGGAGCCTGTAGTGATAGTTGCAGATGTATATTGGTGGTAGTGACTAGGGTCATTTTTGTTCCAAATAGTGGCTGGTGCCTAGTGAGGGAGTCTGTATAACTGACAATGGCAACATTTGCAGGTGCTGGGGACAGTGACATTTGAAGATGAGATTACGCCAAAGCAATCATTTCAGAGGAGGTTGTGGTTGTATTGCAGATGTTGGGTTTAAGGAACGGGGTGAATGGTATTTGATATGAAGCGTGTGTGAAATTGCAAGCTTTAATTAGGAGGTAAAGGTGCAACCAGACTTGAACACATATTGCTTTTGTGAAGCAGATTTTATTTTAGCCTTTCGAAGACCTGTTTGTATAAGCGAACTAAAGTCATACACAGTCACTTAAATATAGCGACCTCAGGGGTGGAAGACAGCTATGGTTGCATCATAGAAAACCATCCAGCAGTTTCCAGAGTGGATGGCGTGTTTTTAGTGTGTTTTTGTGTGGTGGTGTCTTTTCAAGAAAGTGGATAAGGTGGAAATGCATTCCCAGAGAGAAGCTGAGACTGCCAGAACTCATTTCACAGAGGCATCATAGGCTAAAATTGAACCTAGGTCCCAGAGGCTCCCACTTAAGTGTTGACCTAAAAACAAATGTGCCAGTTGGCTAGAGCATGTATTCTGAAGTTTCAGCAGAAGGGAATAAGCTTGATTGACTCCCATCCCTGTAGAGTTATGTCTGTGAATGCAGAAGGAGAAGCAGAAACATTTTTATTAGTCTTAAAAAGATTCTAATATTAATAACTAGTCTCTAAGTAGGAAGCTTTGACTTGAGGAATTCTTCAGGTTTTTGTCCACTAAGGGTGTATGTATGCGCGTGTATGTACGTGATTCTTCAGGTTTTTGTCCACTAAGGGTGTATGTATGCGCGTGTATGTACGCGTTGTTAGATTCTTGCCAAGTGCTAGCGTATTTGAATAATGAATCATGAGAATTTTTGCCATCTCTTTTTTTCCCCACATCATAGTTAGAGCAGAGTCAGACTCTAACCTTATTTTAAAACAAACAGGTCTGTAAACTTTATGTGCAGCATTTAAATACTCATGTTAAAATTCAGACCCAGTGCCTACATTTCCCTGAGTGCTGTCAGTTTTATGAGATGAAACTGGGAGCTTGAGCTGAACAACTAATAGTATGCGATGTGCACATGCTGCCTTCCAACAAGTGTTTAATGATGTCGGGGTCAGTTTGGAACAGTTAAGACAATTATTTCTTTTCCTGAACTGCTTATAACCTAGTGATATTTTAACTACTTAGTTAAGCTTGCAGAAGAAATTGGAAAAGGTACTGGCACAGGTAATTTAGATCCAGATGCAGCAAAAAAGCTTTCTTAGGTTCAAATAGTGTCACTTTTGGCCATGATAGTCTGCAGATTAGTCCTTAATTTGGATGCATCTTCCTGAGCTAAAGTTTTTGTTCTTCTACCCAAAAAAGAAAAAAAAATGCACATATGTAGATGCGTTTTTACAGCAAATATGCCCATTTTCCAGATTTATTTTAACTTGTCTGTCGACCTCTATAACATAACTCCCTTTAAAAAAAATCCTGTCCATTATCCTGCTGGAGAAATTCCTCTGGTTTAGTTCACAGACTCCATAGCGCAAGAAAGCTAACTTAATGACATGTTTCATTTCCAGTTTATGCATATAGCTCCTTTTTCATTAATAAAACATTTGAAGGGGAGCATTGTGGCAGTGTGTATTGCAAGTTATAGGAAGATGGTGTGAGCCATGACACTTGTGGAAGACTTTGCAAGTGACTTGTATTAGTGACACCTGCCCCTGTGCAAAATAGTGGTGGCAGCATCCTCATATTTTAGGTAATAATGGTGGCTTTCATGGTGGCCAGAGCAGTAGATAGCTACTAACTGGATTATCTCTTTATTAAGCGTTCATTTTCTAAGATGACTTATTCTTGTCTTGAACAGACAGCTGCATGTGGGGAACTCTCTCAGATGTCTGAAAAGGAAATGAGACTGCCAATAAGGAAAAAGAAAAGTGGTGAAATGTGTGTTTCTTTTGTCGGGATGTACACAACCATTTTTCTTTTTATTTCAGTTGTTGCACTGTGGTTCCTGAGAAAAACAAAGTAAACTGCCAACTTGCTTTATTGGAGAAGACAGATTGTTTTATTTCTGTCTTTGGAGGAAGCTTTTAGTAAAGTGGGCAAAAAGTCAGGAATAATTAAAGTACTGCACTGTACTTGCTTCCCCAAAAGAAAAGTTGCAGCTAAATTAATCTTCATATTCATTTCAGCATTAGTCATTTACAAGACTGAGGTAGTGCAATGAGTTGTGTGGTTCCTCTATGCACAAGGGATTTGGCTGAGACCACCTGACTCATTTAACTTGGAACCTCATGTTGGGTTTATCACTGCTATTTCGGAGTTAGAACTAGATTACCCCACTAATCCTCAGAATACTTGTTAACCTATCAAGCAGATGGAAGTATCCTTGTGGGCTACTTACTGTTCACAGTATGTTTCCAGCTTTCCATGACCTGGCAAAACAAGGAATCCTACCAGCTTACTTAAAGTTGTGTACAAGTTAAAGTACATATATAAACTTTTAACCTAGAGCATTATTTCCTATGGCTGTGTTCACAGAAAGTCATGGTGAAGAGGTATTGGGTTAGCTTTGTAAAATAAAGGTCAATTTCATGCTTACGTTAATCAATTCCATTATTTTATACTTCGTTTAATTCTGATAATTTCTTGTGAAGCTCTATAGTTAACGGTGAAAAGAAACTCTCTCTCCTAAACTCATTGATTTTTTTCCCCTATTCCTTTTCATTGGAAACTAATTCTAATGGTGGTTTATCTTTTTTATATACTGATCAAAGCCCCTCAATAGCTGTGATAACATTGACAAAGTTAACATTGAAGTATGGAAGGGTTTCTTGAAAGGGGGATAGTGCTGTTTTGTGGATTCTTAAAGGGGAAAAATCCTTTCATCATCAAGATTAGAAAAAAATTAAAGGTAGAGGCTCCCTCTGCTTATTTAGCAATAAAGTGTGAAGCTCCTGTGCTACAGGCTTATGTCAAATATATTTCTTGTTGGTAACAACAAGAACCAATCTGATTTTTTTTTAAAAGAATCTGTTCTTAAAAGCCCTGAGGTCACAGTCTTGATTTTCTTTCAGACCCTAACTGTAAACTAGAAGACAAGGCAGAAGATGGAGAAGTGATAGATTGTAAGAAAAGGCCGGATGAAGGGGAGGAGTTAGAGGAAGAAGCTGTGCACAGCTGTGACAGCTGCCTCCAGGTGTTTGAGTCGCTGAGTGATATCACAGAACACAAGATTAATCAATGTCAACTGACAGGTAAACAATACTTATCACTTTGCAGCTTCTTGCACTGTTCTATTTCTGATTCCAGTTCCGTTCTTCAGAAATTTTCCCCTTCTCAGCTATTTTACTCCAAGACTGAACACTTAGGTGAAACCAGTTACAATTAGGAAAGGATTTTGGAGCAATGTTATGCTGCAAACTGGTATGCCATAAATTTCCTTCAGATGGAAAGGCTAGATGGATAATTAGTGCAGTTGAACTTGATTTAAATTGTGCTTTAGGTTTTAGCATGCCTGGCTACTTTGCTGCTTTCCTGATTTAAACAATATGGTTTTATATACCTTCAATCTTACTAATAACTTAAAAAATCTGACGGTGCTTATAAATGGATTTGACTGCAGTGGGATAATGGATAAATTTATACAGTGGTGGGCTATGGATTTAGATCAGATGCTGCTTTATTCTAAGCTGTTACTACAAATGAGCATACAGTAATCAATAAGTGAAGGTTGAGGAGAATACAGCAAATTGGTACACTATAAATAAAAACAGAGCCATGAGTTAAGTGGTAAAACTGAATGCTGATCAAACACTATTCCCTTCTTGCAAATAGAGCAGGGTGAGTGGATCTGTGACTGCCTTGAGCTTTTTCACTCACAGGTAAAGAAGCAATAGTCTAAAGCAGGGGTTGGCAATGTATGGCCAGCAGGCCAGATGTGGCCTGTGGAGCCATTTTGATCCAGTTTATGGGTCTGGGGCTTTGGCAGCATTTGGAGGCAGGGGGTTTGGCGGCAGTTGTTTTTCTCTGTCACCATGGGGAAATGCACTAGGTGCAGGCTCTCTGCCATCCTAAGGAAAAGCAGTGGTGGTGGCCAGGTCCTAGTGCCTGCCTATCTATGACATGAAGTGGCTCACTAAAGCACACAGTGCAAAAGGTGTCTAAAGGCTTGGGTCTTGATCCTGCAGTGGAATCAATGTAGGTGGCTGATTCACTTGTATGATATCTTACTGAAGTAATTTTGCCATTGCGTTTGTAAGCTATTTTGATGGAACACACTGTAGGTCAAAACAAACTGAAACCAGGGAACGCCATTTTATTAAATAGAAGGGTACTTTAACTTTAACCATTAAGTCACAACATGCAGTTTTTGTGCAGCACAGCTAGCGAGGGGCCAGCCTTGCTTGTTGATAGTTCTGTTAGCCCAGAGTGGCAGCCTCACATATCAAAATATGTTAATGGAGATGTGTGTATGTGTATATATGGAGGTGTTTTTATTAGAGGTACACCAATACATTGGTCCAATATTGGATCAGCACCGATAAAAAGAAAATTGTCTGTATCAGAAATCAGCCTGGTAATTGGCTGATTGGCATGTAGGCGGCGAGGAGCACAGCCTAGCTGCTTGTCTGGGAGGGCATGGGGGGTGGG